CACTTAACAAATGGCCCCTTATGGGGGTTACACAAGGTAATGAAGAACATAGGCTTTGGAGCCAGAATGATTGGGATTACAATTCTACTGCTTCTGTTTTATTTCCTCTTTCTTCTCTTCCTTCTTTTCCCCTCCTATTTCTCTTTCCCTCTTCCAGGCTGGGCGTCTTGTAGCCTATTGTCCACCCTATTAACAAAGGATGATGATGTTCACACCTTCAAGGAAGTGCTGGGGGTTAATCCAGCGCTTTGTGTATACTAGGCAAGTGCTCTGCCAATGGAGCCTCGTCCCCAGTCCAGGATTCCAATTTGGAATCCTCAGCAAAGAAATGATACGAAGACAGACTTCTGTTTGTTCATCAGAAAACATTGGTGTTGCCAGGATTTGTTTAGCTGTAAGAGAATACACGTCAGAATATGAGTGAACACACTGTAGGTGCTCAGTTAAGGTCATCTTTCGACTCTTACTACCAGAAGAATTGCCTCTTTTTGAGTGGGTTTTTATTTGTTGTCTTTGCATTTACAAAATGACGTTTCATTTTACTTTTTTCTTTAGCGTTAATGCTGTCACAAAAATAGTTTTTAGGTATTTGTTAAATAGACAAATTATTTGTAGGATAGAGAGTTTAGCTGTTGCCAAACATGGTAGAACACACCCTAGAATACAAATGCTTGAGGAACTAACACAAGAGGGCTGTGAGCTTCTGCCAGCCAGAGCTACACAGCAGGACAGCCCCACCCACTTTAGGTAGGCAGATTGTGGATTAATAGAATCAGCTATTGCTGGAAATTTGTGTGGAAATTGCTCGCTGTTAAGACTTTTTTTTTTACACAAGTCTGGACAGTGAAATATTTCTAGAGGTATTTTTGTAAGGAAACCTTACTTTTTAAATGAAGTGCCATTTGTTTAGTGAGTCATGTAAACACTTGCTTATCAGATTTGGACCAGGTGTGGCACTGTATTTAGAATTTTGTGTGTGTGTGTGTATTTAAGGTCAAAAAGGCACTATAGGATACTGATTAAAGTGGGTTTGCTGTTCACTGTGGTCATGTTGAGATTATATTTTCCTCATTTGTGAAGTTGGGGTGCTGTCACTTACCTTGTCAAGTTATGAGCATAGAATTAGATGAGCTACTGTTTGAAAAGCAGCCACCACACATTTGGACTGACAGGCAAACCTGAAGGCCGTGGCATATCACAAAGTGAATATTGAAAGGGAAGTTGATATTACTGTTGCTCTGTTGCAATAGGTGATAATTCATTTTATCATAGAGGAAGAATTAGGCTATTTGGAACTAGATAAACTGACCATTAGGGCTGGTCATGGCTCTGTAACTGAGTTACTAGATGCTTAACTGCTCTTAGTTTCTTTGCTTTTCAGATAAAGAGACTAGACTAGATGATCCCCAAATCTCTTTGAATTCTTGATGTTCTGATTGGAGTTGTGATTTTTTTTTTTCAGGGTAATCAACTTGAACATCTAACTGTTATACATACAGCACTATTTTAGATCGTGTGTGTTAAAGTGAAATGGGTGGTATGTGTTCCAGAAAGTGATACTCTAACTGGGAGCATAAGTCTATCTATGAGCTACCCTATGGAGTCCAAGTCAGTGTTGAATGGAGTGTAGAGCCTGCCATCAGTGTCAGGTTCCCGTCACTCAGAATAACCGGTTAGAAGGCTTTAGAAGAGGGACAAAGAGCATATGCTGGTCAGCAGGTCAGCAGGCTCTTGTTTCATAGTAGCAGAGCCTCAGCAGGTCAGCTCAGCACTTGAATAGACCATCACAAAACCCCCTTCTGCAGGGTATCCAAGGAGCTCTGCTTCGGAGATCTGACTGGCCTGGGTTGCCTAGATTATCTGGGCTTTCACTCATTGCTTTCTTCCTTTCTCCCTTCATTGTCAAAACCTGATACTGCATCTGCCCCCAACCCCCAGAACAGGTGTGTTTTCAATGGTGACCCTTTATTTTACATTTGTTTTTATCCATTTTCTTTTCTCATGCTATAACTTGGTTGGGTATTGAAGTAAAGCATTACTGTACTTGCTGTCTTCACAGGGCTTCTTCATAAATCTCCCTTTTCAGGCTCTAGTAGGATGACTTTGCTTTTTCTCCATTTGTACTTTTCATTATGTATTAAGCGATACATTTGTTTATGTGTAGAAGTTAATGTCTTGCTTTAAAAAAAACAGACAGGAAATTTCTTTCAAGTTGTTTTCTTCTGTTAGGTTATTGGCAACTCTGTCATCAAATATGTTTGCAGCATTTAGATAGGATGTCTTTTTTCTTTTTAGCATTTTTTTTTTTTTAAATTGGGTGTGGTGGTGCAGGTGCACACCTTTAATCTCAGCACTGGGAGGGAGAGGCAGGTGGATCTCTTCTTGAGTTTGAGACTAGCCTGGACTACAAAGTGAGTTCTAGGACATCTGGGTTATGCAGAGAAACCCTGTCTCAAAAAAAACAAACAAAGGAGATTTATTTTTATTGTTTTTTTTCCTG